AAATGGTCACTTGAAGACGTCATCACTTTTGAATCCACATGAATTAGCCAATAGAATTTGATGGTTTCAAAGCATTTCTTTTTATGTGTGTGCCGTTGTTCAAGTCGGATGTAGCTTATCGCCATAAAAGTGAGTTCAATGTATCCCCTTCGATTTCGGAGATTATTCAACTTTTTGATATTTTTCATATGTTTAAGCCAGTTGATGGCCCTCATTTCAACCGTTTCGACAGGAAAAAAACACACTCACACATAAATAGGAACCAAAAAAAACGAAGAAAAAAGAACACATACGATCGAAGAAATGTGGAAAAGTGAAAAACATGCAAAAGAAGTGTTTAACTGAAGAAGACGAAGCTCATTTCTCGCGGCGGAGGTGATCGACGTCTAAAAATAGACGAAAAGAGACGAAACAGTTTTTGCTTCAAATTTGTTTTTTTCTTTCCTCTTCGTTTCGTCGGTGTGCGTTTTGCTCAGTGTGTTGTTGGCTTCGCATTCGCGTTTCATTTAATTTGGTGCCGTTCTTCTTTCGGGCTATACTTTGCGGTAATGAGTGGAAAAAAGAGATCGATTTTCATTCTTTTAGGACCAAAAATAAAATAAAAACAGACACACATTAATGCGCGAGCTCATAAAATGTACCAGTTAACAATGAACCAGAAATAGAACGGTGGTTCCGAACGGAAAACAACGGCAACAAACTTCTTTAACAGCGCGCAGTATCGTTGTTATTTTTCTTCTGTCTTTTTCCATTGGAATGCGAGAGAGATGAAAACGAAAATACCGTTTCCTTGTGTAGCGAAAAGATAAAAGCAGAAAACGATTGATGATGCGCAATAGCTTCAAAAACCACACCAACAATAACAAAAACAACAGCAAACGACAAAAAATGATCTTGCGTTGTGTGTTTTTTTTTTCTTTTCTTCTGTCGCACACTATGAGGATGGCTAACAAAACGGACTGATGTAGCACGGCGACAAAACATTGATAACGGACACGCTCATTGGTCATATGTCATATCAAAGACGTTTCTCTCGAAACAATACAGAGTTCAACTAATATTGTTTACGCTCTTTGTCTTGTATCTTTCGGGTACCACAAGTAAAGCCAAGCCAAGCCAAAACCATTCAGGTACTTTGCGAATGTCATCGAAAGTCAAAAGTCCAGTCCATGTTGGTGCGCAAACCGAGATAAACAACACACACTCTCTCGCAATCGAACACATGTACTCGCCATGAATGAAGACAACAACTGGCAAGTTCTTGGATAGAAATTAACAAGCTGTCAAGGGAAAAATGAATCATTGACAAAAGTTTCCACTTGGACAATGAGACATTCTGATCGGCTGTACTGTGTGGCATGAATAGTTCATAAATTTTTTTTTTCGCATTCATTCAATGCAAAGAAGAAAGAAAACCGAAAAATATATTCTATGCAAAGTCATAAAGATCATCGTCATTGCGGCTGGTTGTTGTACACAATATTATGGGCACGGCCTTCGAAGTGATATCTTTTGGTTTATTTCATTCGGTATCTGCGCTTTTTTTTCGATCTTCTCATTCGTATGCTGTGTTTTTTCTCTTGCGCCCGCTGCTGCGATCGGTACATGACGATCGCAAATAAACATACCGTAAATTTTCCCTTTTCACGCATCTCGTTCTCTTATTCACTCTTTCGGTCGCCCTCACACATCGATGCCGCGAAAAGAAAATCGAATCAATATATATGTGTGATAAACATATTGCTTCGTTACGTGTACAGAAATGAAGAGACCTCTAACAATACTAGGCCACCTTGATAATTGATTCGGCTCAGTTTTTTTTTGCACGTTTTTCATGTTTGGTTTTTGTTTTGCTTTTGCTTTTGTACGTGGTGCGCTTTTCTACTTTGCTCTCTGTCTCTTCTGCGAACTTCGGCGTTTGATGTATGTGATTCAAGCTGTGTGCTGTTCAACGTTCGTTTGTGCTAGCTAGCCAGCCAGCTTGACATGTATTCGGTGTGCGCACGGTGCGCGCGTTCGCGCACACACTTGCTTCACATGTAATAATGAACAGACATCAAGTATTCAATGTACGTAACGAAAATGAGGCTACCACATATGTTACGTCTATCTATCGCTTAAACGATGTGACAAATGTATGTCTCACCGTCCATATCTGTAACACGATTGACTTTGCCTTTGTCGCTTGGCTGTTTGGTGTGTGCGCTTTTTTTCGGTTGTTCGTTGGTGTTGCGTTCTGTTTCTTTCTCTCTCTCTCTCTCTCTCTCTCTCTCTCTCCTTCTTCTTCGTCTCTGTTCATTGTGTATTTACTTTTGTCTGTGTCAAATTTGTCGCTTTGAGTGAGTCTCTCACGCGATTAACCATGGCAAGAATGCTCAATATACCTTTAATCATCATTATATACAGACTGCAATTGCAGCATTGAATACATAGCCAAAGCAAAGCCTCTTTTGCATTTGCGGTTGGTTTACACGCCTCTTTTACAAATCCAACCAGCGAACAAATTAAATGATAAATACTACATCAATAATAAGCATGGAAATTATAAGTTTTTAATGCTAATTTGGCGTTTATTTTCCCAATCGAATCACATTCAACACCAATTCGCAGCGGTAATAACTGCGAGAGAAGTTTGCCGATTGATATTAACTTCTACTCAGGCGCTCATGATATCATGGCGCATTATCACCATTATGGCTACGAAACGAAACGAAGCGAGAAAAAAATAGTAACCAACAACTCGGTAATTGATGCAAAACATTCATGCATTATGCATTAGAAAATACGTTCTCTGAAGGATAATCGAGCTGCACTTGAAGAGCAGAGCGACAGAATGTAATTGCAACTGGCAAATGCACACGGTGTGTACAAGCAAAACGTGCGCCATGCGTCAGCCACATAGATACCTAATTTAGGTATCCGTTGCAAATTGAAGAGAAGAAAAAAAAATAGAATAATATCGCTTCACAACGTCATTGTTTCATCAAATTAGGTGCTGGTTTTTATTGCCATGAATTTACAAGTGCGTTCAGATTCTTCTCCTGTTTTCGTGCGCACTTTTTTTCTATTCTTTCTGTTCGTCGTCGTCGTCGTCGACATCGCTCAACCGCACACTCATAATGCTCATGAGATTCTTAGCAAATCGCCTGATTGATTCACAGCGAGCGTCCGTCTCACTAATCTCTCAGTTTTAAAAGTTGGTGGCCAAGAATTTTTTTCTAATTACTTTTGCAAAATGCGACGACAAAACATGTTCTTCCATTTTGAAAGTTGTGAGCAAAAGGTGAGCCTCTTTTTCGAAAATGCGTTTCAAATGCTTGATATTCTAGCCAAAATGCGCGGAATTTTGTCGTTTAACGATCGTCATGAATCGAAGTTCTTCCATAATTAGTCGGGCATCGGGGAATTTTTCTGTGCACAAAGTAGGAAACAACAGAAAATATTGTATGGCGCATTCATCAGTAGTACAAAAACAAAAGATTGGAGTAGCGAGAGCGCGAGTTAATGTTTTTTTTTCTTTCTTTTCATAAACAAATGAAATATTCATATTTTTCCTCTATCTCTACACGCAGCGAGAGTGTCACTGGCACCGCTAAAATCAAATAAACCTGCACATGGATGCAAACGAATGCGCGTAAAACGTTGTCGTTGCATGTGTGGCCGTGCATCTTTTTTCATTTCTATACCATCAGCTATGGTTATCTCTTTCCGTAGCGGCTGTTGTTGTTGTTGTGCATCCCGAAAATTGTTCGCCGAGTTCAACAGAATTTGAGCAAACAAAGACGTTGTACAACGTCACACACACTTTTATTGACGGTTGTGAAATTTCATTTATAAAAAAGAACAAATCGTGCACAAGCACAAGTACAAGCACACAGCGACCAATGAAAGTGTGCACCAAAATTTCTCAGTGTGAGAAATTATCTGCAAGATTGTTTTATATTTGAATATGATTGCGTTGTCCAAATAAAATCGATGAATAAGTGATTAAGATAGTGAGTAAAAGAGACGAAATAGCTAACTGATTTCCTATTGATTGATTCCATCGATGTGATTTCAATTTTATTTTACAGCCACACTTATTCCGATTACGAAAAGGAAGCCAAGGGTGCAATGACACTCGCGTTACAAATTGATACAGATGTCTGCTGATAACAACGTAACTGAAAACGTAAAAAATGCCGCAAAATTCACCTCGTTCATGAAATTCACTAGCTCATGTTCAATAAGCTAATTTAAGATGCTTTCAATATACTTTACGTTCAATATATACATAGGTATACAGCGATCTATTTTGCAGGAAAAAAAAGACATTCACCTGACAAAAAAAAAGATACTCTGTTTCAAACATTTGGCATACCGTTAGTATGTACAGTACAACGACGTCACGAAAAACACGAAAATCCAATCAAACAGATTTGCTTGTCTAGAAAAAAATGTTTATTATTTTTTCCCTTTATTAAGAAGCGCATGGGCTTCATTTGTTTCACTTTACAATATTTCACATTACATAAATTATTCGGTTGTTAGCTGAATCCCGTTTCATTTTTTTTTGTTCTGCTTTGTTGCAAATAGATCATTATAGGTGTCTGAGCTATTCTGGACTCAAATTACATTATTAGATAATTGTAAAAACATCGAAAACGATAAAAACGAAAAGAACAATTTTGGTTCACTCATTCCAATTTGTAGTGTTTTGTTGTTGTTTTATTCCGATTGATTAATAAATAGAAACTTTTACCAAATTAAAAAGAAATTATTGATCGCAACACAGGTTTAAGATGAAGAAAAAAAAACAATTAAAATCTATTACTGGTGGTTTGTTGTTTGTTCGCAATGATAATTTGCTTGCGTTTTTTTTTCGCCTATAACGCTTTAAAACTTGAGTTGAGCTATGCTGTGGAATGAATTTTTGGCTCAGCTGCATTGTTGAACCAAAATGTTCCAGCTTTTATTTGATTACGCCACTACATCTTTCTTCTTCTTCTTCTTATTCTTCATTTTTTTTTTTTGTAAAATTTGTTTTATTTTCATTTATTGTGAATATCTAATTTTTTTATTCATTCCGTGTTTATATGCGAGAGTTGGTTATATGAAATATAATTATAGATTTATTTGTTATCTCTGGGGCAAAGCTCTCAAAGAGACAATTAACTAAGTGTTTTTTTTCTTGTTGTTTTTGTTTTTATGATAGAAGATAAGTGAATTGAAAAAAAAAATCGGTTCCATTCTGTAGAAAACTTTTTCTTTTGGCAAAAAAAAAACTTTCTCATCCCGTTAAGTTTACTGAGTTTGACATTGAACGCCGGCACCTCGTCCAGGATGGCCATCGTCATCACTGTCGTAGGCATCTTGTCGATTGTCCGTGTCGTGGTCTGGATCGTATTCATGCCAATTCACTTCTTCGACATTTTCGCCGGTTGGCATCACAAATGGAGGTCGTGGCCCGAGCAACTCTTCGATCCGCTTCAGTTGATTGGGTTTCATTTCGTATTTGGCCGGATATTCAATGTTGAACCGAATATAGAGATTGCCCTTTTCGAATGGGTTTCGATGAATGGGCATTCCTTCGCCTTTTACTGCTTTAATTGTATCCTTCTTGATCACATCGCCCGGAGCACATTTCAGCACCAAATTCCGACCATCCAAATGTTTAATCGGAAATTGGAAGCCGCATAGGGCTTCGGTCAATGTGATTGTGTGCACAATGATTAAATTGTCACCGGATCGCTCGAAAAAATCGTGTGGCTGCTGTACCAATACAACGACTACATCACCAGCATCTTTGCAATCAGCAATTTGATTTCCTTCGCCCTTGAATGTAATCTTTTGGCCATGTTTCATGCCTTTATCGATATGCACCTCGAACGTTTTGTCTTCAGACACCACCCGTTGGCCTTTGCATTGTTTGCAACGATCGCTATCTGAGAACGATTCACCTTTGCCACTGCAGTCAGGGCAACGTGCATGGATTTGTCGGGCGATTCCAGGGCCAAGCTGTTGAATTGTCACCTGTTTGATGTAGGACAATTTGGATAAGTTGAATGAGTTTTGGAGTAAATGCTTTGATTGTTTTAAAAGATACTTCTTGATTGCATTAAAAATTGACGTTTTCAAACCAAATTTATACATTTTCATCTGACTTTCGAATGATTCTAACAGTTTCAACCTAATTTCAATTACCTTAGTTCCACTGCCTTGGCATGTGCTACATTTTTTTGCTGAGCCAGCCTTTCCACCGCGGCCATCGCAGGTTTTGCAGATCTTTTGCAGGCGTTTCACTTCGACTGGTATCACTACATTTCCGTTGTACAGCTGCTCGAGTGTGACAGTTTGTTGTTGGACTTCTGGATTGGGTTTGCGAGCTGAATGGCCACCCATGCCACCCATACCGCCCATGCCGCCCATTCCACCGAAGAAACCACCAAACATACGACCAAAAAAGTCATCGGCTGCCGAATCACCGCCATCCTGCAATCCCTTCAAACCATATCGATCGTATGTCGCACGTTTCTCTGGGTCAGACAGAACTTCATAGGCAAACGATATTTCTTTGAATTTATCGCCTGCTTCCGGGTTCTTATCCGGATGAAATTCTTTGGCAAGCTTACGATAGTTCTGCAAACGAAAACCAAGAAAAAAAAACAGAAGAAATAACACAGTTGAGTAAATTCGATAAAATCACGGAAGATGTAAACACAGCGGCAATTTTACATAATTGTGCAATGTATATTAGTTCATTTGCTATGAACCGTGTACGCGTCAAGTGTAATTACAACTGGTTTATGTATAGACTGTGTTGAAAATTTAATTCAATTTTTTTTACGACGTCACAACACTTCTGATGCATTTGTATGGTTATGGGAAAAAAACCATCGCAAATCAGTGTTTGAAGAGAGAGAAAAAAACCATCCTACACACTTTCAATCAACTAAGACGAATGGATCAACTAAGACGCAATTTTCAAGGTTTTCGCGACATTCATTGCAATCCAATTTATAGAACTGTCATCGATAAACTGATGTGCACACGTGAATAAAGCGCATTTTAATTTTGTAAATGTTTCTTTATCCCTATCGACACTAGACCACACATTTGCAAGTTCACATGAATTTTTTTTTTTCATATTGCAGAATGACTCAAATTTTTTACACGCGATTTCAACACTTCGATGACAATTTGATAACCACACTAATAATCACAATATGTTTGTCGCAATTTTCTCATTCAGAAAATCAACAGAAACTTACCTTTTTTATTTCGCTATCGGTTGCATTTCGGCTTACACCTAGAACATCGTAGAGCTTGTTGTCCGACATTTTTTATTTTAATGTGAAAAAAGGAAAAATCACTTTTCTTGCAGAGTTTTTGTGTTAGAAACGAGTAAACAATTTGGAGACTGTTACTACTTTGTGTGTTTGACACTTACAAATCAACTAAAACATGCTGAATGTGTCAAATGCGGCAAGTGACGAATTGCAATTGGCGAACACTTTTGTGAAATTCTTACTCGGTTGCTATGATTGTATTTGCTCAAGTTCAGGTCAAAATACACGATTTTCATTTTATCATTGAAAAAAATCCCAGTTCTCATAAAAAAATCATTGTTTTGAATGAAAACGCATTGCATTTTTCGAAGGTTACTATCTGTGGAGACATTTGGTGGAAATTTGAACTAAAATTCGCGCGAAACCAATGACACTTGCAAACAGCACATCAACAAGTTTGAAAAGTGATTCGATGTAAACATGGATATTTTTGGCGACGATATCGATAGTTTCTATCACAACGATGACGAGCTGAATGAAAATATTCGCGAGCAAAATGTTATTGAAGAAGCCGATGAAGACAATGGCGAAAAGGATGGAGATGGAAAATTAGACGAGAATAGTGAACCAATCAAAGTTGAAGCAAAGAAACGGTCAGTGCGACGACCACAGGTAAGCTAGTGAATCTTTCAACTAAAAGCAATGAATTTGAAACAAAAATAAGAAATTCATAACAATGTCCTTGGTTTCAGTTGCGTTTAAATGTGGAGCGTTTGAAATCCGATCGTGGCATTCACACCGTCGAAGATTATTTCAAAGATTTTAAATGCCGTGGCAAGGGCCATGAGCGTGAAGATTTGAATGCAGTGATGAAACGATTGGAACATTGGGCACATCGTCTGTATCCAAACTATCAGTTCGATGATTTTGTGGCTCAGGTGGAGAAACTTGGTCGAAAAAAGGAAATCCAAACGCATATGTATCGCTATCGACACGGTTTGTTGGATGATCTGAATAAGAACAAGGGCAACGAAGATGAAGAGGTGCGTGAAGAAGGCGAAAATCACATGGAAGGAATTGAACCCATCGACGAAATGGACGAAATTATAGACCAGCAAATTCAGAATTACACAATGGCACCCAGAACACCGGCACATGAACGTACATTTGAATCGATTCGCAGTAGCATGATTGCAACGCCAAGACTTCGTGACCAACATCCGATCGAGGCATCAACACCAATTGCCAAACCAGTTGAAAGTGCACCGGTTACAAAACCGGCTCTAACATCCGAACAAATGGCAAAGATAGCTGAAAATCGTCGTTTGGCACAGGAACGGTTGCGCCTTAAGAAATTGGAAGCTGAAAAGGCTGCCGCCGCTGCTGCAGCAGCCGCTTTAAACACCGAAAATGCGGAAAATGAAGAATTTACATAATCATAATAGTTAGAACTTTATTCATTAAGCGCGATAAAATGTTAATAAAATAAAACGTAAGGCAACGGCTCACACACTCATTGTGAATTGTGAACGAAACCTTACACCTAACCTCAATTATGTTGCCAATCTGTCAAAAAAAAAATAGAATGTATTGTTCTTGGTTTGTCATTTGAAAGCCGTCTGACTCAAGCCACGTTTTGATTGAATTTCACAACGTCAAATCAAATTCAGTCATTGTGTCTTTTGTCTCTAACTGGAGCAAGTTGAATAAAAAGCATTAAAATCAATCAAAATGGTGTTGGATTTGGATTTATTCCGTAAAGATAAGGGCGGCGACCCGGATAAAATTCGTGAAAACCAAAAGTTGCGTTTCAAAGATTTGAATCTGGTGGAAACAGTGATTTCGTGCGATGGAGAATGGCGAAAGAATGTATCGGCACGGGATAATCTGAATAAATTAAAAAATCGATGCAGCAAAGAGGTCGGCGAAAAAATGAAGAAGAAACAAGAGCCGGGCGATGAAAATGAGCCAGTTCCAGAGGATATTATCGCAGATTTGGAGAATGTGACCGGTGACCGATTGAAAGAACTCACGATAAATCAAATCAAAAAGACCCGTGTACTCATCGACGCCGCTCTCGTTAACACCGAAGCCAAAATAGTCGAATTGGAAGTCACGAGAAATACAGCGTTGCGTGAAGTTGGCAATCATTTACATACCAGCGTGCCGGTCAGTGATAATGAGGATGAGAACAAGGTTGAACGCACTTTTGGCGATTGCTCGGCCAAAGGCAAATATTCACACGTCGATTTGATTGTTATGATCGATGGTGTGAACTCCGATAAAGGTGCCGTCGTCTCTGGTGGACGTGGCTACTTCTTAATCGGTCCAGCCGTATTTTTAGAACAAGCTCTCATTCAATTCGCTCTTCATTCACTCTACGATAAAGATTACACTCCATTGTATACGCCATTCTTTATGCGCAAAGAGGTAAGAATTTAATTTCATGTTTCAAGACCTGAATTTTCCTTCATCATTGGATTTTTATTTTGTTTCGATTGAATTTAGTTTTATTCATAAATGTGAACAATTTATCAATTTTCAGGTTATGCAGGAAGTCGCTCAATTATCGCAATTCGACGAAGAATTGTACAAGGTGATCGGAAAAGGCGGTGAAAAGGGCGAAACAACCGATGAAAAATACTTAATTGCCACTTCGGAACAACCAATTGCTGCATATCATCGTGACGAATGGATCCCAGAAGGATCACTTCCAATTAAGTGAGTTGATTAAAAAGCAAGTTCGTGGAATAATCACCTGTACTCGATTGAACTTGTTAAAAAAGTTCAAATGTTTTCAAGTTTTTTTTATCTAATATTTACTTTTCCACTGACTCATTCAAGGTATGCTGGAATCTCAACATGTTTCCGTCAAGAGGTCGGCTCCCATGGTCGTGACACTCGCGGTATTTTCCGTGTACATCAATTCGAAAAGATCGAACAATTCGTATTGACCTCACCGCATGACAATAAATCATGGGAAATGATGGACGAAATGATTTCGAACGCTGAAAACTTCTACCAAGCCCTTGGCATTCCATATCGTGTCGTAAACATTGTTTCGGGCGCATTAAATCATGCCGCTTCGAAAAAGCTCGACTTAGAAGCATGGTTCGCTGGTTCAGGTGCATTCCGTGAATTAGTTTCATGCAGTAACTGTTTGGAGTACCAGGCTCGACGTTTACTTGTGCGTTACGGCCAAACGAAGAAGATGAATGCTAACACTGAATTTGTTCATATGTAAGTTGACAATAAAAAAAAATTGATTAATTTTCCTTCCCCCACGCCAGAATACCGAACAATATTGCTAACATATATGTTTTCACCATTTGCAGGTTGAATGCCACAATGTGCGCAACGACTCGTGTTATTTGTGCCATTTTGGAGACACATCAAACGGAAACTGGTGTTAAAGTGCCCGAAGTATTGAAAAGATACATGCCAGCCAAATACCAAGATGAAATTCCGTTTGTCAAACCGGCTCCAATCGATGTTGAAGCTGCTGCCGCTGCCGCCAAGAAAAATAAAGGCAAAAAATAAACTCGCTTCATCACATCGAAACATCGACGCATTTTAAACTGAAAATTCTACTGCTAGCATTAATAAACATCCAACTTTTTTTATACTTTATTTTTTATTTCTTTTTTTGCAAAATTGTTATTATGCTAAAAGTAATACATAAAAATTCAGCTAAATTAATGAACACGGTGTCTAATTTGATGGAATGACCATCGCATGCGGCGTGCGATGCCAAAAAAATAAACAATTATACAGGTAGAGGCAACAAATATGATGAACTTCATATTTTTGCTAAAAGGATAGTAAATAAAATAAAGGGAATAAAAGAGGGGCCTATACAAGTATTGGTTAGCTCTCACTTTCAGCTTCTGCAATTAATTTCATAATATTCATTTGTAAAATTCGGGACTTTGGTTTATTCATATTACGCATAACTTCGGCGACAAAATTCCCAAAAATATCAAATTCATCCTGTTTCCTACTCGTAGTTGCGACTGGTGTGCTTGAGATCACTTCAATGTTTGTTCCATTGTTCATCATCGTACTTTGCTTCATACCATCATCCGTTATGAGTTCCTCTTCAAATGTTGTGAATATATCATTCGAGGTGGCATTTGCAAACGACTCTTCAATTATATTCGATGATAACGAAAGACTCTTTTCAACATTAAGTTTATGCGAATCATCACTGATGATTTGGTACGTTGTTTGCTGCTTCTTCGGTGAGGTTTTTTCTGTTGAATCATAATTTTTTGCCGTTAATAAATTGTAACGAATCAATTTTTCTAGTTGTAAATCACCGAAAATGTAAATTTACTAACGTTTTTTGGCTCTTGGTTCGCATATGGCTTCTTCATAGGCAACGGCATCATTGGGCAATACAATTGTCTCTGATGAAATGTAATGATCGTGATCACCACTTATCAGGAATTCTTCAACGTCAGTTTCCTCCCTGCAAATGGTGCAATTTTGTCAGTGAGTATTTTGAATGGAGAATCGCTCTTTGTGAACAAATAATCTCTAGAACAAAGAATTGTTCAAAGCATAATAGAATCGAAAGAACTCACTCAATTTCCTCGTATTGAATGTTTTTGTCATCGTCCATAATCGGATCCAAAAAGCTTAACATATCATAATATCGATACTTTGGCTTTCCATCACCACCAATGTTGGCTATCCGTCGCACTTTGTGGTATCGATCTCGAATATTCTTCCAGATTTTCGGTATTTTTTGAAGTGGTATCAAGTGATTCAAGGCTTCATAAATTTCAGTCCATTGTTGACGTCGTAAAACATGTTTCACTCCTTTTTCCTGTACAGTTTGCGGTTTGTATAATAATGGTCGCTTCGCCACTTCGGATATTAGGATTTCGTTGATATCTGGAATACATCAAATCAGTTATTATTCAACTTGAATCAAATAAAAAATTAGGAAATATTTTTGTAGAAACTCCACTTTGGATTTCATTTCAAACTCACCATGCACTAAATACTCGTCATCTCCGTCATTGGTGTCGAAATGTTCAGTATCTGCAAAAATTCACACCAATTTTATATCAATAGCAATCAACAGATGTTTATGAAACTGGTGAAGAAAATGATTTGAAAGTAACCTTTGTCCATTTCGCCGTCTGACTCCTTTTTAATAAGGTGTATCGTGTTGTCTGGATCTTTCTTAACGCGAAATATTTGGTTCAAGGAGATATTGTGTTGTTTTCGTAAATGTTTGCTCAGGTTCCCTGTCGAAGTAGATCGTTGGTATTTTTTGATTCGTCTATTGAAGAAACAATGGGTACAATAAACGTGCTTTTTGTCCACTGCATCGTGGTGCTTAATGGCTCCAAAATGCTTCCACACACCACTCGACGATTTATCACTGCGATCATTCAAAATCGTAAATTCTGGATTATAATCGGTTATATTGATATTGATATCTGGAGCTTCAATTAGCTCGATAAAGGTCTCTTCCATATTTCCTTCTTTTGGCTCTAATTAAACTTAAGTCGAACAATTTTCGACTGCTTAACTCGATAATCAAATCAATTTTCTACAAAAATCACATAATTGAGCACATTTGCGCCGAAACAATCAAAACATCTGTGGAAAACTATTTTTGACACTTCTTCAAAAACAAACGACCAAACAATGAAGACAAAAATAAACAAGCCAGTGCACGGCTACGTTTTTGGCTTTGATCCGAAGAGATGCAAGACGCAATGATTTTTCACTCGAGCTGATGAAATAATCACTATTTTGCGTTGTCAAATCGGTTTTGATGGTTTTATGGCTCATATAGCGCCATCTGATGAGAATAAACCGCAACTAAATGACTTGCCATCGATGCAGCGTTATCCGCTGAAACTGCTTGGTTTTTTTATCATTTTCACGGTTTTCAATTTTAAATATTGCAGTTTAAATAGGAAAATCGTTAAAATTAACAAAAGATCGTAAATTAACGTCGATTTTAGGATCAAAATCTGTTGAATCAAATTATTCAGAATCAAACGAGCATGCATTCAAATTCGAATCCTTGCGATGGCAACACCCGAAGTTTTATCAGTGTGTACATAGTGTCAAAATTTGATGAAACCAGAGCAAGCATCATGAGCATTGAGCTACACACGCACACATGGACACATGCACGGGATTTCGCATTTGCTGCTGATGTTTATATTTTGTCTTGCGTTTTGTTATTTTCGGTCTTTGCGTGTTCGTCTCCACACACAAACTGAGTGAAATCATTTAGCTCGCAACGAATTGCGGATACCTTTGCTGTGCAAAATCATTTTTTGCGTGTATTGTGTGTGCACAGTCGCTCATTTAACCGGTTGATTGAACGCAGTGTGATATTAATATCGTGCCATTATTATTCAGAAAGAGAAAAAAAAACACCGATAGATTTTCAATTCCATTAGAATAAAGAAGACGTTTCGTAGCAGTGTTAATTTGTGATTGATTGTGAATTGGTACGTGCGCTAGAATAATCGGTCAGAATCATTTGAGATTCTTTTTACGTAATTGAAAATTATTGAGCAAAAATACTGGCAAAAGTGAACCCTGAAATAAATGTAGGGAAAACGTATGGAAACGTGATGAGTGTGTCATGAAATATGAATTGGCAGAGTTCCAAAATGTTGTCATACAGATACCATTTTTTGCTAGCAAAAATCTCGTTTTCTGCCGCATCCAAGCGCTGTTGTTATTTCAGTTTTACTGAGTTTCAAAGGCACTTTCAGAAAGAATTCCAACTTTTTGTTGTTGTTCAAGGCGAAGCAAAAGCGCAAATTCCAGTTGTTGCCATTGCAAATAAAGCCGCCAAAATAGGAAGCGATTTGGTCTTTGTTCTGAATAATGAACTTGAATGTAAATCAACAACACAGTGATTAGAAACTTGGTGAATCGGTGTTTTTATTTTCAATTGAATCCCTTGTTTACCGTGAATGTAGAAAAAAAATTAACATTGACACGAATTGCTGATAACTTTTTTTTCCTTTCAAAAATAGAGCACAAGAAGCATAGAAAATAGAAAATTCCCAGACAACTGATAACGCGATGAACAAGGGAAATACTTGGGCGATACGCGCGTTACTGACAAATAGTGATCATTACAAAATTCGATTATTGTTTTTTCTCAACGTCGTAAAATTGAATTCCGTGCTAGCTGGCCTATATATTCACGTTTTATGCGATTCGTTTCAGCTGATACGGATGCTTCAATGCAGCAAGAGCCCGGTTTATCTCTTCATTCATTCTGAAATTGACGTAAACAAAGTCTAGTAGCGCGCGGTTATCAGTCACTTGCATTTGATTTGACTTTTATGATTGGCATGTGCTGCTAAAATAAATTTTTCACTGCGAGCGGGTAAAAATCGATGGACAAGTGCAAAATTAGCTGAATCAAAATGTACGACGACATTGTCGACATTCCCCAGGCCATATACAGAGTTTCAAATACACGCTTCCCCTTTTTCAGCCGATGAACTCCTTTCGCAAATTTTGCACTCAAACAACCAATTTACCAACACCATGATGTGGTCGTCGTCGCACGCAACACCATACAAACACTTCACTCACACTTGTCAATTCACACTCTTCGCGTCCATATATAAAAATGATGTTGTTGTTGTTGTTGTTGTGGTGCTTATATTTGTGTACGCACTCCTCTCTAACTATTCGTGTTATTTTATCCGTTTCGTTTTTGCACCGCATAGATAACGAACGCAAGAAAGAGACGATCGACCAGTCCAACTGCACGGAGGAACCATCATAAAAAAGCAAATATGATTAGTAGTCGTTGTTTGAATACGGTGTTGAGCGGCAGTGCTCGTAAAAGTAGTCGCCTATCGGCAAAAAATCATCGTCATTTCAGCAGCTTATTATCAACGGCTGTGCCAAAAACATTTCAATCGTCGGTGAACTTCGAACAAGGCAACAAACGTACAATGGCATCGTTAACGAAAACGCTTACATTGGATTCAATCAATCCAAATGTCATCAAAATGGAATATGCTGTCCGTGGACCGTTGGTCATTCGTGCCGGTGAAATTGAAAAGGAAATTAAACAGGTAATGTGGCGTCGACTAGCAAAAAGACGAGAAAATTTTCCGTCTCTGTGATTGATTTCGTATATTTTTTTGCGTGTGTCTTTTTTCCGGGGTGCTAAGTGAAATAGATCAAAAATAGAACCACTAATAAAACTGTTGTCTGCATCACGTATATTTAATTCGCGAATGAAATTTGGATCGTGCTGCGCGCTGATTCTTGGTGTTTGTGTGATTTGGAATATCTATGCAAATTGATATTGTGTTGAATGTCATAGAATAATGTGACGCAAGGTTTTATTTGGTATTAAATTGTGAAAAAAATGCAGATTTCTCTGTTCCTTTGCGTCGTGTAAAATACAACTTAGTATTTAAATGCTCGACTTTGATTATTACTATGCTATGATAGCATTCGGTGTTGCTTTTCCACATTTTGTTTGCTTATCAAATTTGGTTGTTTTGTTTTGGAATACACCCAAAAGAAATCCGTTGTAATAAAACAGATATCAGTGTGTTTTCGCGACGTAGATGTCATGTGGACTACGTGCAGTTTTCTCATGAAAAAGAGAAAAAAAATACGAGAAACAGAGTGAATAAACTGAAAACGTCAATAAAACAATAGTCTAGATACATACACAATTCGACTCAAAAATCCCCTTAAAATTTCACTCGTTGCAAATACGCATGTTCATCACCTTTCTTCTCAAACGTTGGTGAATGGGCTTTTTCTAAACACCACATTTTCATCCGAAAACGTCACAATTTTTTTTGTTTCCATTTTTCTCAACGTTCAATACAATAACAAATGCTTTTCATCGTAACAAAAATATCGACTATGCTGCACTTCGACACTAATCAATGATTAGTAATCATGGAAAAAAAAATCCAATGAAAATAAAATGGTCGCGCCAACACCCAGCACTAAGTTTCAATAATTCATATCGATGTGTGAATTTGAAATGAGGTGCACAGCGATACACATGTTTGCTCCATTTCAACCGTTCATTTATTAAACGTTGGAATAGAAATACATGCAAATATGACTATTGTACCGAAATTGTGGCATAACAAAAAATTCTAAATGAAACACAAAAGAATTCAATTTGCGTGCTCACAATGTCAAATTGGTGGAATAATTGCAGAGCGAAATCAAAGTACTGTATGTGGGGGGCCTTATGTATGGTACGGATGTCAATGTTTTGTACACATTGACATTGATGAATAAAATTCGTTGTGCTTGAGTTTTGCGAGCACTTCAACATGATAGTTCAATTAGGCTCCGGACGTGTTTTCCCATTAAATTCCAACCATTTTTCTATTCGAATGCTTTGAACTTGTTTTTCATAAGCAGTGTTTTTTTTTCGTTTATGTTTTACAGGGCGTCAAGAAGCCGTTCAACGAAGTAATTCGTGCAAATATCGGTGATTGTCATGCTATGGGACAGCCATACATTACATTCCTACGAGATGTAAGTATTAACCAGAGTAAAAAAAATCCTCGTTTAATCCATAGATCGGTTTTGACGCTATGAAATCCAACTAGAATCGGCCGAATCGAATTAGAATGTTGCGATAAAGTTTTTATCTATTGACGGTTTATATCCAGTTTACACTAAGCATATAAACGGTTCCCAAACATCCATTTGCCTGTTGTTTTTTCTCTCACATCTCGACATTTGAATAGCAAGTGGCACCATGTGTTGTAATTATATATTCAGAATTAAATGCGAGAATTCTAAATTACAAATGGCAACAATATGGCTGGAGAGTATTCATTAAAACAATCCATTCCGTTTGATTGTTTTATGAGTTTCTGTAACCAAGCCGTGAATTGTTCAATTCATCATTCGTTTTGCAAATGTTCCTCTATGTTCGAAGAAACAAAAAAATGTAATACGTGATCACGCGCGGTTAATTTAATCTTGTCATTGTTTGACTTACACATACACTCTCTTTTTGCTCTTTGTTGTTTACGCTCTTCGATCCCAGTTAACTTATACAATAAAAGAAGCCGTTGAATATTGAACAATAAGTAGTAATAATTGCTAACGTAAAGTGAAAAATTGTCTATAAAATTCACCATTTCATGGAATTTTCGAGTAAGTCATGTTGATTGAATTTAATATTTAATCATAATCTGTTTCTTCTGACGTCCTCGTGATTTGGTATGAGCGATTGTCTTTCGTTGCGGCCTGATAAAATGCTCACATTAAATAACACAATTTGTTTCGACAACCTCCGTCATGGCAAATCGGCGATAACATTTATCGATGAGTGGTTCAAATGAATTGTTTGAATTGTAAATTTTTTTTTCTCAAGCTTGTGATAACATGTGTTTGTACAAAGCATGTATTGTACTTTTAATGTGCGGTGTATCGCAAGGTTTTTATAGGTCTCTTATTAGTATAATTAAATTAGAGATTAGGATTGCCAAACGACAGACGAACGTTAATTTACGTTCAGATTTGGATATTCATGAACTCATATGCATATATAATCACATTTTGACTAGGTATTGGCGCTAGTTGTTGATCCAACGAACTTCAACGAATCGAAATACCCGGATGATGCAAAGAAGCGTGCCCAAGCTATTCTCGATGGTTGCGGTGGTAAATCGGTTGGTGCTTACTCCGATTCAGCTGGAATTGAGATTATTCGACACCATGCAGCCGAATACATTCAAAACCGTGACGGTGGCATTCCTGCACGATGGGAAGATATATACTTGTGTGCCGGTGCATCGCAATCAATTAAAGCTGTGATGAGTTTATTGAATAAAAAAATCGATGGCCAGATTCCAGGTGTTATGGTGCCCATTCCACAGTATCCATTGTATTCGGCCACAATTGCCGAATTTGGAATGCAACAAGTTGGCTACTATTTGAATGAAGACACCAACTGGGGTCTGGACATTCCCGAATTGGAACGTTCTCTTACCGAAGCAAAGAAAGAATGTAATCCACGTGCTATTGTTGTTATTAATCCTGGAAATCCGACCGGTCAAGTATTAACGCGTGATAATATCCAAAATATTATCAAATTCGCACACGACCATAAGTTGTTCATCTTCGCCGATGAAGTATACCAAGACAATGTGTACGAAAAAGAATCGACCTTTCATTCGTTCAAGAAAGTCTTGATCGAAATGGGTGAACCATACAAAAATATGGAATTGGCCAGCTTTATGTCGTGCTCTAAGGGATATATGGGTAAATTACATCTCAGATAATATCTTATCTTTAGTTTTTGTAGTGAAAAAAAACTAAATTATTTGAATTGTTTTTGTCCGGCAGGTGAGTGCGGTATTCGTGGTGGATATGTGGAACTCATCAATTTGGAACCCACAGTCAAAGCCATGTACCAAAAATCGATT